ACTGACTCAGAAATCTCTATGGCAGATCCTCCTACATCTAGCTAGACTCCCAGAACCAGCTAAACCATAGCCCAGCTATAAAGGAAACAGACGTGTAGCACGGAGCACGTTTATTTATGACGTATATTGCGGATCAAGTGTATACGCAGGGAGCTACTCATGATCAGGATGGGGGATTAGGTTAAACAGAGGTTAATGATTGGTCACTGTTTGCACGGTCGCTGCTCACAGAGTTGAACGGCCGCACCTCCCAATCCTGGCGAGCAGACATGCAGGCATACGATGACGCACACAGTGATAACGTGTCCCACAATATTGTATTGGAATTGAGTCATTTTTATACATGACTATATTTGGGTATTAACTTATGTAGATATTGTTGATGGCTCTCCGTAATTAATTACCTTTCTAACCACAAGCCTCTGTCTGGTCAAATTGCGTGCAAAGCTTTTATTTCATTCCAGGTTGAACAACCTCACTTCGTCGAACTTGACGGAATCATCGCCGAGTTAAATCTCAAGCGTCTGCTCTGGAACTGTCTATCTGAATGGGAGGTGATTTCTAAGGGTTGGGATGAAGCCGAATTCTCAACTCTCGACCCAGAAAAAATCACAAACACCACCATGAAATATCTCAAATCAATCGCCCAGTTAGAGAGAGGTTTAGTACCCAATAACGTTGTTCCTATTCTTCGTCAAAACGTCGATGAAGTGCGATTAATCGTAAGCTAGCTACAATTCTATACATTTACTTTCACTCATAGCTTCCAACTTTGAACGATTTGAGAAATCCCGCTCTAAAAGACAGGCATTGGACTTTGCTGGAAGATATCATCGGTTTCAAGATGTCTGAGCTAGAAGCTCCTCTAACTCTTGGGAAGTTAAAGGAGTTGAAAGCGTTTAGCAAAGTTGCAGAAATTCAAGAAATTGCGGCTATGGCAAGCTCTGAGGCGAGTCTGGAAGCGCTACTTAAAAAGGTCGGTCTCAATGCGATCTGGTTCAATATCCAAAAATAGTACTGGAGCTAAAATTTGGTTTTTAGGTTGAAAATGCATGGAAATCAACAGAATTTATTGTTATTCCTTATAAAGCCTTCAAAGACGTCTATGTATTGGGAGGAACAGACGAGATTCAACAACTATGGGACGATTCAAACATCAATATTTCAACAATTGCGTCTTCTAGGCATGTAGGACCCATTAAACCACAAGTTGACGAATGGGTTGCAAAATTAGCCCTATTTGGAGAGACCTTGGTACGTGTATTTTGATTTCACTTAGAAGTGCATCTTTGAATAGGGGAATCATTAAAGTGAATCAAAATTTATTGAGGTGAACACGAGGGGCGCTGATTATATCAAGTTAGGGAAAGTTCAAGCGACTGTTACCCGATTTTATAATTATCGCCAAGAGACTCTAATTTAAATTTCCCCCCTCAGAGCAGGAAAAGGTGTCAGTGACTAGCCTTCCCAGCATTTTAAAGTTACAATTTTATAAAAATAAGAAGGGAATATAGGGGGCTAAATTATTTCTAGATGAAAAAAAAGGCTGGGAGAAGGTGGTGTTACTGTAATCAATATGATGAAAAATCAATAGAATGGTGGTATTAGGAAGCGGAAGAAAATCAATAAGCAGCTTGCAAGTGATTTGCGCGTAACGATGAAAAAGGCAGAAAGGTGAGCTAAATCAATGAACAAATTAAGATAAACTTGGTTGCTGGGATACTTGGATTGAAGGTAATTTCCTAACAATGAACAAGTTAAAAAGGGTGAGTATAATCAAGAACTACACACGTTTTACCGCTTCTCTTATTGAATAGAATTAGCCAGTGTGATCGGTCATGCTCATCCACGGTAGTCTTCGATCTTGTGAACAGTGGCTTGTCAGAAATCCGCGTTGACTGCTACACTACCGGCGTATATCGGGCTGCGATATATAATTTCTGTAACCTTCCAATCTGTTGTTTTAGTTTAGTTCTCGAGATCCCGAATTCGGAAGATTAAAGTTCAGGATAAGTTTAGCTAGTACAAGAACTCTCTTTCGGATGACATCTTTGTGATAATTTCCCCTTGATCCTAGCGATTGATCTAATTTTGGTTGCAGTATTAAAACCGTTTTTAATCAACTGTCATCTGTTACATAAAAGTAATAAAGGCTGCATTATTCAATTATTTGATAGGAACAATGGTTAATCTGTCAGAAAGGTTGGATTTATCTTGAGAGTATCTTCTCAGCACCTGATATTCAACGTCAACTTCCAACCGAGGCGAAAAGCTTCGCAGCTCTAGACAAGTCGTTTAAAGAAGTAATGCGAAATGTACAGAAGGTACCACTCGCCATCCGAGCCGCAACTACACCTGGAATACTCAATACCTTCAGAAATAATAACATTCTATTGGAACAAATCCAGAGATGTCTAGAAGCCTATCTAGAATCGAAGAGAGTAATATTCTCGCGTTTCTACTTCTTGTCAAATGACGAACTATTGGAGATTCTGGCTCAAACAAGAAATCCCTTCGCTGTGCAACCACATTTGAGAAAGTGTTTTGATGCTATTGTCAAATTAGAATTTGCAAAGAATCCAGAATATGATGAAAAATCTTCCGGTAAGGCAAACCTTCATCACTGCTATCTTTTCATTCTAGAACCCAAATTTTCCAATGACATATTAGCTATGATTTCTCCTGAGGGTGAAAGTGTTTCTCTTACAAGGGTATTTTTAATGAAATAATAAATTATTACTTCATCCTTTACCTCCTAGGGTTTGAAAGCTCGAGGTAATGTAGAGGAGTGGTTAGGCAAGGTGGAAGAAGCTATGGTGGTTAGTCTTCGTCGGAGTATGAAGCAGGCTCTACTTGATTTTGATAAAATGTCACGTGCTGATTGGCTAGTCGCACATCCCAATCAGATCACGCTAACTGTCGAACAGTTAGTATGGGCACGAAAAGTTCATGAAATCCTCGACAACCAGGATTTGGATTCGAAAATTCGACTTGACGCTTTGAAGGAATATGAGAGGGAATTGTTTGAAGTATGATTTTCTTCGTTAGGTGTAATAAAATCTATTGTAATGTTATATGATTCATCGGATTTCCCTCTGATAGAATCTAAATGAACTTGCCAAATTGGTTCGTGGCAACCTGGCCAAATTGGTCCGAATGATGCTCTGTTCTCTTATTACAATCGATGTTCATTCGCGTGATATTGTCACTAGTCTGATTGGGGCAAATGTAACCTCATCAGAAAACTTTGATTGGCAGAAGCAACTACGCTACTACTGGGATAATGAAATTGACAATTGTGTTGTACGAATGTCAATGTCGCAATATGTTTACGGCTATGAGTACCTCGGAGCATCACCCCGGCTTGTCATTACTCCTCTTACTGACAGGTTGGTTTCTCCTTCTTCTGTTTTTTTTCCCATTCCTACATTTTTCGATGTCAGGCCAAACATTAGTGATTAAGCATGAGATTGGATACTGAGCCTTTTCGATCCGATTCCATAAAATACTTGTGAGCCAAATTTAAAAATAATTGTTGAGCGGAACTTTACAATACTGATTCCACTTGAAGTCAATTTTGATACTCTCAAATACATCAAATTAAAATCAAATTTAAACGTCAGATATAACATTATTAGTGATAGTTGGTATGAAAACAGATGAGGATGAATGGAAAACACTTATTCATTGAAGATTAAATCAGTGATACGAGTCTATTGGCTGATGTCCAGCCTAGTAGCAAATGGATTTATGAGTACTACTCGTATTCTCAGAAAGTCATCAGCGTTAGAATAGGGCAAGCGTTCAATGTCATTAAAACTAATCAGAAAAACTCTTCATCATGTTTAGAGGCCTCTGAAATTTGGAGTTTTCGCAATAGCGATATGATTACTTAGTGTATCGGTACCTATTTTGTCAGACATTGTGACAAAATCAATATTAGTGGGATGATCATACGCTCAAATGGATGCCAATCTAATTACCTTTCAGAATAGATACGCATTGTTATACGGTTAGTTGCTAGTTTTTCTTAGCTGTTAACAGCATACACATTGAAGATTATATTTTAATTTCTTTTCTCTTTAAAATCAATTGTTCTAAGTATTACAAGCCGTACATTTCAGCTTCGAGAATTCCAGGAATGCATTTTAATATTGTTTTTTCTTTAAGCTTGACTTTTTGATATTTAGTAAATTATTGTCAACACGTTTCATAATTTATAAATTTAATCACTTTGTTCACTGAGGTGTTATCTCTGTCTGATGGGTGCTCTTCAACTTAACCTTGGAGGAGCTCCAGCAGGTCCAGCAGGCACAGGAAAGACGGAATCCACGAAGGATCTAGCAAAGAGTCTAGCAAAACAGTGCGTAGTTTTCAATTGTTCCGATGGTCTGGACTATAAAATGATGGGCAGGTTCTTTGCCGGCTTGGCTCAGTCTGGTGCATGGTGTTGCTTCGATGAATTCAATCGTATTGACATTGAAGTTCTCTCTGTCATTGCTCAACAGTTAATCACAATCAAAGATGCCAAAATAGCTAAAATCAATCGATTTGTATTCGAGGGACGGGAAATTAAACTAAATTCATCTTGTGCTGCTTTCATTACCATGAATCCCGGATACGCAGGAAGAACAGAACTTCCTGACAATTTAAAAGCACTTTTCAGGCCTATTTCCATGATGGTTCCAGACTACAGTAAGTTATTCGATTTCCTACAAGTTCAGAAAAGGACAAATTTGAAATTATGTATTAATTTTCTTTTGAAGAGCTAATTGCTGAAGTCATTCTCTACTCAGAAGGTTTTGAATCATCAAAAGATCTAGCTCAAAAGATGACTCAAATGTACAAACTTTGCAGTGAACAGCTCTCCAAGCAGGATCATTATGATTTTGGTATGAGAGCTCTGAAATCTGTTCTGGTTATGGCTGGTTCATTAAAACGCGAGAATGCGGACAAACCGGAGGATGCGGTGCTTATTCGCGCTCTAAGGGATAGCAATTTGCCTAAATTCTTGTCACAAGATGCCGTCCTCTTTACAGCTATCCTTCAGGATCTCTTTCCTGGGGTTGATGTACCAGAATATGATTATGGTCAGTTCCAGAGGGTGATCGAACAGGTCACTGTCGACTTTGGCCTGCAAGTGGTTCCAGTTCAAACTTCTAAAGTTATCCAGTTCTATGAGACACTTGAAGTCAGACATGGTGTTATGTTAGTTGGTCCAACAGGTGGTGGCAAGACAACTGTCTACAGAATCCTGGCAAAGACTCTTGAAACGCTTTCTCACATGCCGGAATTGGCTGAAACTAACCCGAGTTACCAGCCAGTAAAGACCTATGTACTTAATCCGAAATCTATTACAATGGGGGAGATATATGGTGAGGTTAATGAGAAGACAATGGAATGGCATGATGGTCTGATGGGGTCAATAGTTCGGCAGACGTGCAACGTAAGTTTCGATTTTTTATTTCCTTCTATTTGTATCTTTATAAAAGACATAAAGATCTCGTATAATATCATCTGTGGTGACTTTAATTAATGAAAGTCGTTCTCCTTCAAGCTATTTCCATTGTGTTCATACTCTTAACGTCTTGTCTCTAGTTAGGGGTCAATCTAGGTTTTCTTCAGATTGGATTGAATTCATTCACTAAAAATTTGCTTTTTCAAACTACATTTAATCAATTATTTCCCTTGAAATCTCCTTCGAAGTGATCTATTGGTTAGCTTAAGCTATTATAGAGATTATTATTATTAATATTTGTAATGGTACTAAGCATACACATATAAACAATACGTATATTTTAGCGTCTTTTGTTAATGCTAAAGTCAGTAAAAGCCTTGTTAACAATATATATATATATATATATGTTGAAATGACTTCGGCCGAATTCCCACATCTACATAAACTAACTTCAATATCGTGTTGACAACTTAGTTCATGTGCTCCATCCTTGCTTTTATCATTAATATTCATAACCATTCTCTTATGTTTCATAACATCTTAAATGGATAAAATTCCATTGAAGAGGTGCAAACACTTCATGCATTGCAGTTAAAATTTAACAACCTCCTTGATAGATCAATTGTTGTATTCACTTAGGATGCAACCTCTGATCATCAATGGATCATTTGTGATGGTCCTGTCGACGCCCTTTGGATTGAAAACATGAATACGGTTCTAGATGACAACAAGATGCTTTGTCTAGCCAATTCAGAACGAATCAAACTCACGCCCTACGTCCACATGCTTTTCGAAGTTGCCGATTTAGCTGTTGCGTCTCCGGCAACAGTCTCTCGATGCGGAATGGTATATGTTGATTCCGATGAACTTGGTTGGCTCCCGTATGTGAAGGTAAGTAAATCATATCAATAAGTTCTTTCATTCTCCCTCAATTTGGTAATATCTTCTCCTTTTTAACTCGTAGACTTGGTTGAACACACTTAAAAGCAAGTTGAATGATGCGATTAGGGAATACTTGTTGAAACTCTTCGAAAAATACGTTGATCCAGCGCTTGAAAGGATCTTAAAGATGCCAACAGTCATTCCGCAGGTTAGTCATTTAATAATAAGTTCAGTCTATTGGTCTTTTGTTCTAGGTTCCAATAGCAAGGGTCAAGACCATGTGTACTCTCATTGAAGTGGCTTTAACCTGTCCCGGATCTCTAGATCTGAGTCAAGGTGAAATTCAGAAACATCAGCCAATAATTGCCATGGTATTTGCCTTCTCTCTTCTATGGGGTCTAGCAGGAAATATCGTAGGATCTAAGGCCAATGAAGTAGATACCCACATCAGGAATGTCATGGATGAATGTGGAGAGGCTAGAGTAGGTTCCTTTTCTTTCACGTCACCTTTTTTTGCCTTAGCTTCCTCCCAGCCAGGATCTGTGGTCGTATTTCGTCGATTGCAAGTTACGAAAATGGGAACTTTGGGAGCGTCAAATGCCATTATTCCGTTACAACAAGAGTGAACCGTTCTTTAATTGCTTGGTTCCTACTGTTGATACTGTTCGTTATGGAAAACTGATGGAACAACTCCTGACTGCCTCCCAGTCAGTCCTTTTTACTGGAGACACTGGCGTCGGAAAGGTTAGTGAAATCCGCTTCTATTATTCTGGAATATCAAATTGTTTACCCAAATTGGCATTGACAACTCTGTTTACGCTAACACTAATAGTCTCATCTCGGTTCAGAATTTCTTGTATGGAGATAAGAGGCGGTGGGGCAGTGATCAAAGTGCGCATCTATTACATTAGAGGTTAAGAGATGGATCCGCATTAAGTGATGTGGCTGGCAAACCATATCAACTAAGTCTAGTCGAAAAAGGTGTATTAGAATGAAAGTTTTACCTTAGATTGCCTCCAAATGACTTGCATTCAACTCTATCGTTTCCAAACACCCGTTTAATGCCACATTGGTTCGAAGGATACAATTTACCTTAGTATAAGTAACTCCATACTATGATTCAGAAATCGCTTTTCTTCCATATCTATCTTATTTACCTCAATTTTTCTTCATCGCTTCCTTTGCTCTCTATTTTGCAGACTGCAATAGCTCGGAGCACTCTCGAACGTCTTCAAAACACTAACAACACCCTCCCGATATTCATCAACTTCTCCGCTCAAACAAGCAGTCAACGAACACAAGAAATGATTGAAGATAAATTAGGAAAACGCAAGAAGGGACTTATTGGTCCACCTAAGGGTCAGAGAGCAGTGCTCTTTGTGGATGATCTCAATATGCCAAGAGTTGACACTTTTGGTAGTCAGCCGCCAATTGAACTTTTGCGTCAGTTCCAGGATTTCGGTGGTTTCTATGACAGGGATAAGTTGACGTGGATTGAAGTGGAAGATGTAACCCTGGCAGCTGCTTGTGGCCCACCTGGCGGTGGAAGAAATCCCACAACAGCGAGACTTATTCGACACTTCTCCGTCTTGGCTATTCCTTCGCCATCTGATATGACACTGAAGCATATATTTGGTGCTATTTTAAATGTTAGTATATTGCTTGCTTTTATTCATTTGAGTATCAATCTATGGATAAATCATATGGCCATGTCTTGTCATGTAATAGATAGCTAGACCACCTGCGTGGAAAACTATCAGCACGGCGATAGTATGGATCAAGGTCACATTGTCTACCTGCCCCCTTATCTTGAGATGAGTAAATCATATCCCGCACTTTTATCAGTTTAAGGATAGGTAATAACTCAATGGGTATTTGATTAGGCATTTTCATTTTGAAATTATCATGAATTGGAGCTAACTGCAGCTGGAGTTAAGATTGTGGAGGCAGATTATTTTGTGAACGGAATTCGAGAATGGTAATTTCTGGACCACTTTTGTTAAGATGTTGGAAATTTTTCTTTCAAAACATTAAATCACCTTCTTTTTGTTTTCCTTCCTAGGGTTTCATGTCGGACTTTCCCCAAGCTATTAAGCTCCTGAGCGAATCACTCGTCGGTGGAGCAGTTGAAATGTACGGTCGACTTGCAACCGAATTGCTACCCACTCCAGCCAAGTCGCACTACGTATTCAATCTCCGAGATCTTTCGAAAACCATTCAGGGGGTGTTGCAGACAAGCCCACCGGCTATCAGAGATAGAATGGCTTTTAATCGTCTCTTCTACCACGAATGTTCTAGAGTCTTTCATGATCGACTGGTGGATGACAATGATAGACTCTTTTTCAATACAATTTTGTCGGAGATTGCTAGTAAATACCTCGGCGAAGTACGTGAATTTCATTTAAGTTCGAGTGCATTGAGATGTATTGAAGTATTATTTAATGGTCTTTCTAATAAATATGACCACAGACACTTGAACCGGAAGTCCTTTCCAAGAATCCGTTATTCTTTGGAGATTTCATGTCTTTTGGAGCAAAGAGAGACGAGAGGGTCTATGAAGAAATTGCAGATATGAATAAACTCAAAAATATCATGGAAGAAGTGATTAATTTTAATTAATTCATTTAATATCAGAGACAATCAATTTTAACTTATAACCATAAACAGTGATTACCAATAGCTGTAATCATTCGTTGAATAAATTTGGGGTAAATATTAACATTTTAGTACCTTGATGACTACAACATTGTGAACTCAAAGGACACCTCAATGGTATTCTTCACGGACGCAGTTCAGCATATCTGTCGAATTGCAAGAATCCTCCGTCAGGATCGTGGAAATGCTCTGCTTGTGGGTGTTGGTGGTACTGGCAAGAGAACGTTAACACAGTGAGTTAGCGTCTAAGGAACAGCCAGAAATTTGATCATTATTAAAAATTTTCATAGACTTGCAGCTCATATCAACGGTTGTCAGTGTTTCTCAATTGAACTCTGCCGTGGTTACAATTATGAGAGTTTTCACGAAGACCTTCAAAAGCTCTATTTTTGGGCAGGGGTGGAAGATAAGCCGACAGTTTTCCTCTTCTCTGATAATCAAATCTTAATGGAGGAATTTGTTGAAGATCTCAATAACATTCTCAATTCTGGTGAAGTTCCAGGTCTATTTAACTCGGAGATGTTTGAGAAACTCATCATCGGAACACGTCCGGCAGCCAAGAAAGCAGGAATCCCCGAAGGTGATCGCGACGCAATTTATCGATTTTGTATCGAACGTGTGAGAAACAATCTCCACTTGGTTATCACCATGTCCCCAATGGGTTCAGCATTTAGAAATCGATTGAGAATGTTCCCTTCGTTGGTGAACTGCTGTACGATCGATTGGTTTACGGAATGGCCTGAAGATGCTCTATTAGGTGTTGCGAAGTCGAAATTCTCTTCAATGAATATCGATTCAACTGAGCTCAAAGTATGGTGGCATTAATTCTACTCAACTATAAATAATTTTAGGATAAGATGGCTGAAATATGCACTTTCACTCACTTGACGGTTTCCTCGGCTTCAATTCGCTTCTACGAAGAATTGAAGCGTTATTTCTACACAACACCCACGAGTTACCTTGAGCTCTTATCTACTTATAGAGTTATGCTTGATGATCGACGAAGGTTAGTCGTTGTATTTTAGATTTGATCTGCTGTATTAGTAATCTGAAAGCAACTCAAGATAAGTTTAAGAGCGGCTTGAACAAGATCTTGGAGACAAATGAAACCGTCGGCCGTATGGAAGAGGAGCTTAAGGCACTTCGACCTAAACTAGAACAGAAACAAAAGGATACAGAGAATTTGATGAATAAACTAAGTGAAGACCAGGGAAAGGTGAGTACAGTATAGCTGCAAAATATTTTTGTGCTATCAATTATTGAAGACTGACTACCTGCACTTGAAATAATAATTCCTTCACTTGCAATTGCCATATCCTATTCACAGACCATTGAAAAGGTCTTATTTATTCTTAGTTTCATCTTTTAATTCTTGGTATCTTGGAGAACAAAGTGGCCTCTATTTTGTGCATACTTTTTGAGTCTAAGTGGAAAGAGCTAAGAGGTGGAAGGTAGAGGGGAGTTGGGTAGAGTGGGGTTGGGGGGGGGGGTGTTAGAAGCAACTGAGCTTTGATAGCCAGTCCAGGCAAGGGTTACGCTCGAAATCAGACAATTGAAGTAGTTAAAGGACGATATGATAGTCTGATTGTGGAAGTAAGGGTTAACACACGGCCATCAAGAAACGAAAAAGAATTTGAGGGTGATTTTGATAGATGATCCGATGTATGTACGGCATTTTAATTAAAATTAATTATTGAATTGAGAGTTTCAAAGGGATGCGTATAAACATAATCGAAGGAAACAATTTACAGAGAGCCTCACTAAAGCTTATATCTGAACGAAAATCGTTATTTTGAATATAATTGTTACATAAGACTCATACTTCAGTGTTTTTTTCCAGGCCGATGTCGTTCGTCATCATGTTAAGGATGACGAGGCCGAAGCTAAAAGAAAGGCCATAGAGACTCAAGCGATTGCTGATGACGCACAACGGGATTTGGACGCAGCTCTGCCAGTACTGGAAGCAGCAAATAAAGCCCTTGACTCCCTTGACAAAAATGACATTGCCGAAGTGCGTGTTTTCACTAAACCTCCTCAACTTGTTCAAACAGTTATGGAAGCAGTCTGCCTTATGTTGGGACAAAAGTGAGCGCTATACTGCTGAAACGCTTTAAGTAGCTCAATCAGTTTAATGACTTTCAAGCTTCAATTTCTAGAACTGACTGGGCTACCGCCAAGACAGTCTTGGGTGATAGTAACTTCCTGAAGAAATTAGTGGAATATCCGAAGGATGATATCTCCGACTCGCTTCTGAAGCGACTACAAAAATATGTAGAAAATCCAGATTTTGAACCCTCTGTGATTGAGAAAGTGAGCAAGGCGTGCAAGTCCTTGTGCATGTGGGTGCGTGCGCTGGAAATGTATGCAACTGGTTACCGCACCGTGGAGCCCAAGAGAAAGAGGTGAGCTAGTCGCATTCAATCAATAGGACAATTTGTGTCTCACTTTTTATTGGCCAATTTTCACAGTGAGTCAGTATTGTGATTGATCCCGTTTGCCATAAGAGTTATTTTTAATGCTTGTGCTTTATCTTTTATTGTTGCAACTTTATTCGGTTTTAGTGATTCCTTAGTCATTGTACACCCCTCTTTAACTGGTAATTATTTAAGACAAAGATATATATATATATATATATATATATATATATATATATATATATATGGATTTCAAATGTTCTTTCTTGATTATCATTATCCCCAAAAGCTGTAAGCATATTCACTTTCCTTGGTATAAATTGCATTATCACTTGCATTATTGAGTATATCAACAACGTTTAATAGTGGGAAGAAATTGTAAGGCAAAGTGTAAGGCAAGGTATTCAATTGCTTTTTTTAAATTCGAACTGTGGGGTCTGCGACAGACTTACCTCCACGTATACTCATACGGCAAAAAAGTCTATTAACAGGCAGTTGACATCTGAATTCAAACAACCATCACCCCACTGTATGTCTTATTCGACCCCTTTCACAGTACTCACCTCACCTTTTTTCTACCTTTCAAACTCTCTTCTGTTCCCCCCCCCTCTCTCGATTTTTTGTCACTTTGATGTTTCTCCTCCTCTCTGTGAAGTCCGAAGTCAGCTAAAGGGCTAATGATAACTATCAAAACGTCTGCCATTTGAAAAAAATTAATTCGAATTGTGAAATGTACTCAAAGCGGGTAACTTATGTTCCAAAATTCAGATTTAATGATTTGTCCACGGCGAGCATAAAATACTTATTTTTTGAGGTTTATTGCTTATTGACTGTTTTTTTCTTTTGCAAATCATAATGAGTCTGTTTTGACACCCCAATCCACTTCTTCTAACAATGGTTGAGAAGACAGGAAAATTTCCAGGGAGTCTAGATGAGATAAATGCAAATTTCAAGTTAGCAGAGCTTTTAATCAGTGGTTGCTCAAATACTTCTACTCGTATGCAACAGCAACTCTTTTCTTCATAGTTAGTTTTTGGTTCTATTTGAACCCATTTCAATGCCTTACATTAGTTGGAGAAATGCCTATTATAGCCGTTCTGTAAGGTAATCATCATCATTTTCCAACTCTTCAAATTTGATCAGTGCGGTTGGCCACTCACAGAATTAAATCTATACTAATGAGCATTGATTTTATGGCCTGTAATTCAACATTTTCATTGGCTTCATTATATTCCTGTTTTTTTTAATTGATTGATGTCACTCAATTATCGATGCATCACAGTTTAAGTCATACTGTTATAATACTCTGGCGATTTAATATTGTTTACATAGACTTGAAGCAGCTAACAAAGAGCTGGATATAATGGTAACCAACCTCCGAAGTAAACAAGCCGCACTAAAAGACATTGAAGACAAAATAGCAGCACTACAAGCTACTTACGATAAATCAGTAGCTGAAAAGAAAGCTCTGGAACATAACCTTGCCCTCACTGCAGCTCGACTCAAACGAGCTGGCAAGTTGACAACGGCGTTGTCGAGTGAACAGGAACACTGGCGCGATTCTATCGAAAAATGCGAAGTTCAGTTGGGAAACGTTGTTGGAGATGTCTTCATTTCTGCAGCATGTGTTGCTTATTATGGAGCTTTCACTATAGAGTTCCGAGATTCTCTTCTCACCACATGGATTGACAAGTGTCATGAACTTAGTATTCCAATCAGTGAAAACGTCCGACTCTTCAGTGTCCTTGGTGATGCCTTCGAACTGCGACAGTGGAATTCTGAAGGCCTTCCTAGAGATCAAGTCAGCACGGATAATGGGATAATAGCAACAAGAACTAGAAGATGGCCTCTAATGATTGATCCCCAAGAACAAGCCAATCGATGGATTAGAAGTATGGAGGAAAAAAATAGTATTAAAGTTGTGAAATCTTCGGATACTTCGATGCTCCGTATTTTGGAATCGTGTATTCGAGCTGGTTGTCCGATGTTATTAGAAGATGTCGGTGAATCATTAGATCCAGCTCTTGAACCCATACTGATGCGACAAACTTTCATGAAAAGTGGGAGATTGCTTATTCGTTTGGGAGACAACGATATTGATTACGACAACAACTTTAGGTTTTATATGACCACTAAATTACCAAATCCGCATTATGTACCCGAGATCATTATCAAGGTCACTTTAATTAATTTCACGGTGACACCGCAAGGACTTGAAGATCAGCTATTGAGCGCAGTAACGGGACTCGAAAGGCCTGAGTTGGAAGAACAACGAGTGCAGCTCATTGTTCATATAAATCAGGACAAAATTTCAATGCAGGTATATTCTACTTGTTTATCATAAATAGTACCCAATAATTTGAATATATCTGTTTTAAGAATACGATTTTCTTTAAAGCAAATCGAGGATAAGATTCTCAAGCTGTTATATGAGTCGGAGGGAAATATTTTGGATAAGGAAACCCTAATCAACACTCTGGATGATTCGAAGAAAACATCGAATGAAATCGCGAAAAGGCTGTCGGAAGCAGAAACGACGGAAGCTAGAATATCGAAAGCTCGATCGCATTTCTTGCCAATAGCCTCCAGAGGCTCTGTGCTATACTTTGTGATTATACTTCTTGCAGATATTGATCCTATGTATCAATTTTCACTTAAGTATTTCTTATCAGTAAGTTTTGGTTACTTCAACTTCAGCAACCACCGAGCGGTATAAAAATTTTCTAATCTTGAAATTGATTGTTTTTAGCTATTTACTCAAACCATCGAGAAGACTCCAGTGATCAGAGAGGAAACCCGAACTCAAGATCTTCTTGATGCCATAACGTTGGCCACTTATAATAACGTTGCTCGGGGTTTGTTCGCCCGAGATAAGCTTGTCTTTTCTTACATGTTGTGTGCTCGAATTCTCCTTCATGAGAAGAAGATCAATCAAGCAGAATGGGATTATTTGATATCCACAGCTACCCAGTCTGATCGTCTCGTCTTACCTCAACCTGAATCTACTATTTCATGGCTGAGTCCTCGCCAATGGAAATCGAGCTGTGACCTAGCTGACGCACTTCCAGATCTATTCAGTTCACTTCCAACTGATATTTCTAGCGGAAAGTCAATCTCTGTTAGCCTTTACAATACTGATAGCTCACAAAGGGATGGAGTAACTGTTGTACTATCTCCGCCCAACGTCTTTGGTGAAAATAGCAGTTGGAATGATCGACTCAACTTATTCCAAAAGACAATTCTTATAAGAGCTATACGTGATGAGGATTTTGTTTCTGCGGTGACACAGTTTGTGAAGATTCAACTAGGGAAGGAATTTGTGGAATCACCGGCTATTGATCTACCTCTTCTTTACGCAGATATGGATGCTGTAACGCCACTGGTTTTCGTTCTTTCACCGGGATCCGATCCAATGTCCCAATTTCAGAGGTTTGCTAGACAAATGGACTATGGAGAGAGAATCAACTCAGTGTCCTTAGGACAAGGTCAAGGGCCAACTGCTGAGAGATTAATAGAGCAAGCTGCAGAGAGTGGAGATTGGGTCTTCCTTCAGGTATTCATTTATCCAGTTACCTCATCCTAGCATTATTTATTAATTTAATATTGACTTTTGCCATAGAATTGTCATCTAGCCGCATCCTGGATGGTTCGAATGGAAGAGATTATAAAAGAACTTTCGGAGTCAAAAAGAAAAACTCACAAAGACTTCCGTATCTTCCTCAGTTCCATGCCTGCTAAGTCGTTTCCCATTACTGTCCTTCAGAACTCTGTTAAGGTCACAAATGAACCTCCAAAGGGAATTCGAGCAAATCTTCGTAGAGCCCTTACTGACATTTCAAAGGAATTCTTCGAGGACAACGGTAAGAATACTGTTCTTTCAATAATGCTTATCCGGATATACGATAACTTACATGCCCTCCACTCTCATGAATAGTTCTAGGATTGAATTGGCGTCGAGTCGTATACGGTATGTGTCTATTTCATGCCGTAATTTTGGAGAGAAAGAAATTTGGTCCTCTGGGCTGGAATATACCCTACGAATTTAACGATTCGGACAGAGAGTGCGCCATCATGAACCTGGACCTCTTCTCTGACGAAGACGGTTTCGCATGGGATGCTCTCAAATACATAACTGCTGAGGTCAGTAATAATCAAGCAGCTTATAAGAATTAGGTATTCCTTTTCACCCTCCATTAGGTCCTGTAGGTTCTGATGCTTTCAAAACTCATTCAATGTTTTCCTTCGCATTTCAAACAAAGTTAATCTAATATCTGTCCCTAATATCAAATAACTTATATAATAACTACATAAATGATAGAATCATCTCCCACCCCCTACCCCCAGAAAAAACTAGTTCTCTTTAAGTTTATGATAATAAGGTAACAAATTCACTATTAATTCTCACAAAATTGTGAACATTTCAAGATAAATGTGTCCCATTTACATATTCTAGATCACTTACGGTGGACGTGTCACCGACTCTTGGGATCAACGATGTCTGAGTGTGATTCTTTCGAGGTTCTTTGGTGAAAGAACACTGGCGGATGACTACCAGTTCTGCGTTAATTCTAACCTCTACCAGCCACCACCTCTAGAGCATTTGTCAGAATACCTTGATTACATCGATGAATTGCCCTTATTGGATCCTACTGACATTTTCAACATGCATCCAAATGCCAATTTAATATATCTGGCAAGTTTTAAATGATACTCTCAATTTGTTCGTTTTCCGGTTTTTTTTTATTTTCAGTACTTCATTACTTGATCTCCTCTCATCACTCTCAGTGATTGTTAACCCCTTTTACCTTCTTTCAATCATGGTACGCAATGATTACTATTTTCTGGTTTTTCTTTTGACTTAGTGAAATACATATTGTCTTTGTCGGGCGAAAGATCACTTGGCTTCGTCTAGCTTTAATGGAACGCAAGACACTATTAATTGATACTCTGACATATTGACAGATGAAAAAAACTATTAATATTACATTAAAATGAAAAGAATGCCTCTGCACTCTGTAGTTTTATTATATCTTTAGGATATACGATTTTACAAAGGTCCCTATTTTTAGGAGGTCTTTCGGGAATAGTTTTCTTTACGTAAAATAAGGATTGACGCTTTTCTAAAATTATTTTTCAAGTATTCAAGGTTGAAACGACTTATAATTGATCTAATTTAGTCATGATAAGTGATAGTTTTGGCATTAAGAAGATTTCAAAATCTTGCTCAAAAAAAATTATATTTGGAAAATTTTGTTGATCATTGAAACTTGCCAGATAATTGGTCCTTTAAGCTTTGAGAATTTTGTCTCCACAATATGGGAAGAAAATAACGACCTTGGCAACACCTTACAAATAAATATGTGGCAGATGCCACACAAATACACCTTGATTTATTTTCAGCAGACATTTTTAACGCAATGCCCTCTTTTGAAATTGCTCTTGAAATTAGCTGGTCTACCTCAACAGTCTTGAGGTGACAGAGGAATTATTATTATTATCCCAAATGGCAGGCGTTTTGAATATTTAACATTAGCTATTTAGCTGACTTCGGGCTCCAGAGAGGGGAGGAACATCAAAGTGAGAAAAAGTGGAGGAGTGGGAGCAGAAGAGTGATTTACAGATGTATTGGAGGCAGACAGACACAAAGGTAGGGAGAAGGTGAGATGAGTGCTGTGAAAGTTGCGGAATATGACATACAGTGGGGTGATGGTAGTTTGAAGTGAGAAGTCAACTGCCGGTTAATAGACTTTTTGCCGTATGAGAATACGTTGCCCAGGGTGCACCACGTGAAGGTAAGTCTATCGCACACCCTGAGTTATAATATAGTCAGGGTTATGCATAAGTGGCGTTAGTGTCACTGTGGTGACGAATACACGCAAGGTAATCGTCCCATATCCCCATGCATCAATTAAAGTTCGACATCTTTGACTTGGCATGAAGAGTACTTAAAGGCTAAAGCAGAATGAGATTTCAATAGAATATATCTTAAGTTTAAGCCTTGCTCATAGACTGTTGTCTAGATCACTTCCAGTCCCTTGGTAGCAAAATGCTTGTTTATTTACATTAGTTCATTTTTAAAACTGCTTTGGGATAAAAGCCTTTAAGGAATAAACTTACTCTGGGTAACGTTCGCTCCAAGGTGGCGCTATTTAGCTACTCAATGAAAAACAATGCCACAATGACAGCAAAGAGACTTCCGGGTGTTGGGTGATGAGAATGCGACCTTAGTCTTCCTCGATTACAATTTTTTCCTTTTTATTACCATTTTACGTCAGGTAGGAACCCGTTTAAAGGGAAATATGTATCCCAATTTTATTTTGATTGGGATACGTTAACAATAATTCCAAAGATCATTTAAGGAAATACACATACCTTGGTAGTGACACCACGGAATTGTTCTGGTTGGAAACTCTAATTGACAAACCTAACCAATGAGTTTGTTCATTCCGGTCACCGGGTGCGTGCCGATGGCAACCGAACTCGTGATCTCTAACATGGGGAGAATGTGCCCAATGAGCAGCACATATGGATCTGGTACAATTTACCTATACAAATTTTAATTCCATTTCACAATATTGATTGAAAGTGGGTTTACCACCGTTGTTTACTGCTGGCTACAGTTAAAATAAATATTGACAAAAGCTTCAAGCCTTCTTTTGAAAGGATTTTGAAATCTGTTTTGGGTTAGGCGCGGTAGATAATGATAAATTACCTCATATATGAGGAATTGATAATATTATTAATAAAAATGACCTTATTCGTTAAAATATTCTAGGTTAAACGACTGTTGATTTTCTTCATTTTGAATAATTTGCCGAAGTTTATTTAATTGGAATTTATCGGCATTTAGAGGTCAATAGGGCTTCGAGAAGAGTCAACGTATTGATTAGACGTTCAATTCTGGCATGTCAGTAATAGTCATCATGATTGGACTTTCAGGTCATTGGCCTTTGAACTGGCAACCTCTGACCTCACAGACAAGTACGTTGACTCCTCATCACCAGAGCAACAATTTAAACAAATATCCAACAGGTATCAAAATTACTATGAATTACAACAGATTCGATTACACTTCTTTATTACGTAAGGCAAGGGTGACATGAAGGTGGGTGCACAAGGGGCTTGTTAGTGTCATCTCTAACTCCAGGAACAAAACAACCACAGGATAGCTGTGAAATGGAATTGATGGATAAAGTGGTGATTCAATCGGGGGAGTGTTGATGATAAAACAGCCGATTTCATGATTTGCTCACAGACAAACCGTGTCAAAAAGGCAAAAAGTATAAGTAAAGAATGTTAGGGGTGTGAGGCCAAGTGTCACGAGCCCGGCAAGCAGAAGTATCAACAGCAATGACTGAATTTAGTTAATGTTGTTAGTGATGTTATTCCATATCCAAGATGAGCTTTGAAAAATACTTCCGAATTGACTTTTAAAATTACTAATGTCAGTGTGCTAATCAAGGAGATGGCTAACGAACCAAAGTACTTGCAACTCATGAGTCAATAACTGGGCCTGTGTGACTATGGCGTACAGGATAATTCAATGGTTCAAATTGGGACCGCAAAGCGTGATTTGATTGTTTTCGCAGTTAGTAAACGAAAATAGGCTGCAACTGGACTATAAAGTGCATCGTTCAGTATAATTATAATTATTGTTATAAATGAATAATTGGTTTAATACGCATTGAACTTGCACAACAGTCTATGTTTATTGAAAAATAATGGAATGTTATGTTAACGGAAATTTTGAGAATAATAAAAAATGTATTGACAGAAGAATGAGCGTACGCTTGTTATTATTAATTTTCTAATGCTATAACAGAAAATTTCAATCCACCAGCAACAATCTCCAAATTTTGTGGACTATTTTTTTGTTAAATATCCGTCTCCAAAGACACTTGACTGTAAATTCATTGAAAATGATTTAATTGTTGAATGTCCAGAGAATGGAGAAAGTGAACATATTTTAGCGGCTTCTGGCTAAACCTGTCAAAAGCCCTATTGCTAGATCAATAAGAAGAATGAGGAGTTTTCGCGAAGAACACCTGAGTTTGTTTTCAGCTGAATCGGAAACCTTGCATTCATTTTGTTTACTTGACCTGTTTCATGTGCCAGATCATCTTCTTTTCTACGTGATCCTACACGGCCTCGACTTAGGTTCTGTTTCTTACCACCTTACAGAGAAGTCTTTTGAACAGATACAATGCCACCAAGTGCTAACTCTTACCTTCTTGTGCAAAGAAACATTGGTTGTAAGCAGATTTAAGAATCTGACAAAAATGAAATTTAAACAGGGCCATTCTCAATGGAAATAAGTATTGGATAACATCCCTATATCACTCCCACCCATGTTTAAATTGTTGAGCATCTCACGTGACTTGCAATGTGCGAACTCATAATTCGTCCTATCCTGTTAGTTTTTATTAAATTATAACACTTTAGGTTATCAATATAAAATTGCGTATTCGTCTAAAACGAATCCACTAGCTTGACTTTCTGCAGAAATCGCTACTGTCTACTTGCAAATGAAGGTGAGGTTAGAAGGCACTGATGTCCTGAGAAAACTTCAAACTAATCCGGCAAATTCTTTTGTGGAGCGCAATGAGGATTACTACTCTAGTGTGGTCAAGATCAATACATACGTGCTGAGTTGAGCATCAATGCTCATGGTGAACACTTTTTGAACCTGACGTGATTTACCGAATGTTCAGCGTAATTTTTTGCATAATTTTCCTTATTTGCCTCTTTCATCTAAATACACGACGTTGATTTGTCTTTCTGTCTTCACACAGGACCTCATTTACATTGACCACCCGGTGTAAGCATAAACATTCATTGATTCATTTCAAATGACAGTGATAGTGATCGGACTTCACAGAAAGGAGAAACATTTATTTATTTCAAATGGCAGGCTTTATGATACATATCATTAGCCCTGAAAGGGGAAACATCTAAGTGACCAAAAAGTTGAGGACAAAATAATGGCTCACACATGTAAAAGAGATAGATAAACACAAAGCCAGAGAAAAGGTAAGATGAGTACTGTGAAAGTGGTGGAATGAGTGGGGTGATGGTGGTTTGAAGTGAGAAGTCAACTACCTACATGGTAGCTTGAAGTGAGAAGTCAACTGCCGGTTTATGGACATTTTGCCGTTTGAGTATACGTTGCCCAGGGTGTACCACGTGGAGGTAAGTCTATCGCACACCCCTTGTAAGCATAAACAAATATCACCCATATTTATAAGATTAAGAGGACAGTATCGATATGGTTTGGCAAGACAGAGCAAATTCTGAATTCAAAAATCACTTGACCCAATGATCCTGACGCCTAGATGACCCATTCCAACCTCCCTTCAACATTTACCCATATTCTATTTATCTTTATGGCCTTTTTAAGTAAATAAATAATCATGAACGCCAACTATACAAATAGCTTGGTTATTAGTTCGTTGCTTAAATCTTAATTATTACCTTCAAGTGTGGAGTGTGAAATAGACTTACCTCCACGTGGGGCACCCTGAGCAACGTATACTCATNCAATGCATGTATGCGACACATTGAGCTTCTCTGCAATATCTCGTGTTGTGCTGTGACGATTTGAATCGATAATGGCCTTGATATGGGTTTCATCCACTTCGGCTGGGCGGCCAGATCGTTGTGAATTTTTCAGTGAAAAATCACCGGAACGAAATCTTTCAAAACAATTTC